GGCTCGCGCCGTTCCGCGAGGAGGGCGCCGTCGACGAGTTCCTCGCGAGAGGCGAGCGGCACGAGGGCGTCGTCGACGACGCGGCGGCGGCCTGGGGCGAGGCCCTGGCGGCCGAGCGCGACGGCTCGCCGGAGGACGACGGCCCGGGGGGGCCCAAGCCCCACATCTACAGCCTCTCGCGGGCTAACGACGCGGACAAGCTCGTGGACCACGTGAAACAGCGGCTGAAACGCGAGGAGAAGGACCTCGCGTCGCTGCAGGAGGGCGACGGCGACTTCCGCATGAAAGCGGACCGCGTCGCCATGCTCCAGCGGTTCGTCGCCATCTTCCAGTACAAGGGCGCCGACCCCCCCGACCAGCTCTTCCCCTTCCCCGTCGTCCCGGAGGGCGCCGTCGACGAGGCGTACATCGTCGCGCTCCCCACGGTCGTCGAGGACGGCTAGGGGTCCCCGCCCGCGGCGGCCCACGTCATCGCTCCCAGCGGCGCACTAAGCGCGCTTAGCTGCCCTCTAAAGGACGCGAGGGCCGCGCGCGCCGCGCAGTTGACGGCGCGGGTGGCGGGCGGGCGAGCCTCGCGCTGCGCACGCGTCCAGACGACCCTAGCTTCAACATGCACTGGATACGGCATGGTGCACCCGAGAAAGTGGGCAGCCCACCATGGCCGAAGCCTTGCCCGTGCCGGACTCTTGGCCGGCGTTCAATCGTTTCGTCCGTCGTCGCGTGGCAGCTGGCCGTCTTGATCGGCGACATGTCGGCGCTGCGTCTCTTGGCTGTGCGCTCGGGCTTGCCCGGCGCCTTGATCTCCGCATTCATCAGCGCCCGGGGGCACCCAGGCCTTCTTCGACTTCAGCTGCGCGGAGGTCTTGGAGCCGTCGTTCGTGGAGCGTGGCGCGGTGTCGATCGAGAAGACCGTCCGCGTCGGCGACGCGGCGAGCGGCGTCGTTCATCGGCGAAGGGCACGCCCTCGTCGAGCGAGGCGCTCGTCTTCACGTAGAACACCGAGGCCTCGAAGACGACGCCCACGACGGTCGCGACCTTCCAGTCCGAAGCCTTCCTCGCCATCGACCAGTTCATCACGCTGGAGACGCCGCTCTCGAACGTGACGCCGCGGTCTCCATGATGGTGCTCTCCGCGGACGCTGTACGCACATCGTCATGGAGCAGTACCAGGGCGTCGCCTACGACGCCGGCATGGGGCCCCTTGGTGTTTTTCGAACTCCTCCGGGGTGCGCTGGGGTTCGTG